ACTTATGCTCTCCTAATACAAATGTTCGAATTTATGAAAATTTTCGATTTTGAGCCAAATACAAGGGTTGGTCTGAAAGTAATGGAAAAATCAAAAATTTCGAAAAAGACCCATTGCAACTTATGCTCTCCTAATACAAATGTTGGAATTTATGAAAATTTTCGATTTTGAACCAAATACAAGGGTTGGTCAGAAAGTAATGGAAAAATCAAAAATTTGGAAAAAGACCCATTGCAACTTATGCTCTCCTAATACAAATGTTGGAATTTATGAAAATTTTCGGTTTTGAGCCAAGTACAAGGGTTGATCAGAAAGTAAAAGAAAAATCAAAACTGTTTTTTGAAATTTTTTTTTTCCGTAACTTTTCGACCGGCCCTCGTATATGACGCAAAACTGAAAATTTTGTTAATTCTGAAAATTTGTATTAGGAGAGCATAAGTTGCAAAAGGTCTTTTTAAAGGTACATTTTTGAATTTTTTTTCCGTAACTTCTCGACCGGCCCTCGTATATGACGCAAAACTGAAAATTTTGTTAATTCTCAAAATTTGTATTAGGAGAGCATAAGTCGCGAAAGATCTTTTTCAGAGTTCGAACTTTTAGCGCGGGATCAACTATATATGGCAGTTTTGTTTTCTGTTATTCTATATAGTTCGGCCTTGAAACGTTTGATTGCATAAGTACTATCAAAATATAGGTTTATTTGCAGTATTATAACTATAAATCACACTTCTCAAAAAATTTTTAGTGTTATTTTAATAAATGAAACGCTATTTACACTAAAACGAAGTTTATTTAGCAATTTTATTACATATTTCAATTTACACAAATTAAAATTTGTTAAATAGTACATCTATTGTTGCAAATTAATATCACTTACAATAAACATTAACAGATAGGTATTTCAAATAACAATACATTTTAACTACTTATAAATATTAAAAATAAAATACTTCTACGAGACAAAATCAATAAAATTTCAATGCAAATATAATAAAAAGCATCATATTTTTGTCATAAACTGTCATACCATTATTATTTAAATGCAAGATTAGGGAGAAAAAAGCCCCCCTAACCTTCTGTGGCCTCCGCATCTCCCCTTATAGCCACCCTATCCACCCAAACTAACTATAATTTTGAAAGCGTAAACAAATAATTAATTTAATTATCAATTATGCCAAAAAATCAATTTAGAAACATTTTAAATATCAACCTAAGTTATGATTAAAAAGATATAACAGTTTATGCAGTAAAAAACAAAATACCTGTAAGAGAAAGACAAGAAAACACATGAAATTTCAAAAAAAATACAATAAAAAGCAAACAATACGATGTCTTCAGTCTTCTTCGGTTACCTGAAAGCGAATAGTGCAATTACAAGGACTAACGACAAATACTAATAGCTTTGGTAGAGAAGATCGGACAGATTTCGCCAAGGCAAGCTGGGCAGTCGCCTATTGCTCCTATTCCAGATAACCCACTGTACCCTGTCTGAAAGGAAGTAACGCTAGAGTAGACTCGCGAAAAGTGTATAAGACACTTTTAAGATCAACTAAATAGCTAAGCCCAAGGGAAGTCGTTCGGGGAGGCCC